AAAAAAAAAAAAAAAAGTTAAAAGGCAAAAATCGTAAAATTTATACGGAAAGGTCAAAAGTAGCCAAAACAATTTTTAAAAATAAATGGACAGAAAAGAACATCACTCCACCAAATATTAAACCTATCTGAAAGCTAAACCAATTAAGGTCATGTGACAGAAGGGCACGGTGGTGTTTGCCTGTAACCCCAGCACTTAGGAGGCTGAGGCAGGGAGATGCTAAATAAAACAGTACAGTGGAACCTCAGTTCATCAACTCAATTTGTTTGAAAAGATGGCCACCTTTGTGTTCGTGTGGGAAAGAAGGCCACAGTACTGTTTGTCACCTAATGCAGTCTGCAAACAAAAACAAAATTCTGCCAAATGCTGTTTGTGAACCAAATGCAATTTGATGGATATCACATAGAATCTCATCTGCAGTTTAATTTGTATTTTCTTAACAACCAGTGAGGAAGGCAAGGTATAATCTCAGCACTCAGGAGGCTGAGGCAGGAGGATCCCTGAGTTCAAGCCAGCCTGGGCTACAAAGGGAGTTTGAGGCCAGCCTGAGCTACATAGTGAAACCCTGTCTCAAAAAGACAGAAACAAAAAAACCAGTGAAGACAAGCACTATTCCATATACCACTGGTGTTCTGCAAATTACATCTTTCTGTCTTCTGTTCAGTGTCCAACTGGGCATTTTACAATGTATACTTTAATAGTGGACAGTAGGGTTTTTTAGTCCTGTGGATCTTAAGTAACATGTCACATTCTGAACTGTCCTTTATGATGTTTCTTATCGTTTACAAGTTTCAACTTTAAATATATTAAACTTCCTTTGAAGGTTTGTGCTCTTCATATCTTAGTTTTTTCCCCCAATGAAGATATAAAGATCATCTTTTTTTTGTTTCTTTTTTTTTTTGGTTTTTCTCCGGTACCAGGAATCGAACTCACGACCTTATGCTTGCCAGGCAGGCACTGTGCCTCTGAGCTAAATCCCCAGCACCTCTTTTTTTGTTTCTTAAAGGTGGGAAAGGCAGGCTTTACAGGCTTTATTCCTGCAAGCCATGGCAATAGGCACTCAGACCACAGCTCCAGGGTCTTAACAGTGACTGAAGACTGCACTCAGCTTCCAGTCTTACCTGTTTTAAACTGTGGTGCTTTGCATTTAGGGCTCAGATATACCTGACATTTATTAGTGTATTTTTGGTTGAAGGTATGAGGCTGATTCAGCGGTATCTTGGTTTGTGAACATTTTTTGGAATTTTTTTTTTTTTTTTTTTTTTTTGTCTTTCTGAAACAGGGTCTTGCTCTGCAGTTCATGCTGGCCTTGAGCTCACTTTGTAGCCCAGGCTGGTCTCGAACTCACAATGATCCTCCTGCCTCAGCCTCCAGAGTGCTGGGAGTGCTGGGATTACAGGCCTGCACCACCATGCCCGGCTCATGAACATTTTTGTTTGCAAACAATCTGGTTCAAAAAGCAAAATGAAAAACAAAGCCAGCTGTGGTGGTATATACTGTAACCCCAGTACTGGGAAGCTGAGGTAGGAGGATCACAATATGAAGTTCAGGCTGGATAATTTAGCAACTTAATGAGACCCTGTCACAAAATAAAAAATTAAGAAAAGGGTTTTAGCTCAGGATGTAGCTCAATGTGAAGGCCCTGGGTTCAATTCCCAATACAAAACAAAACGAGTACAACTAGTGACCTGGTATCGTTTTTTTAATATCCACTTCTGAAAATTCATATAGGGTATTCAACCTGTACTCATCACCAGAGAAAATTCCCTAAAATACAACCTGAATTTTTTAGAGTTGCAAGATGATGACCTTATGAAAAAGGTCACATTTCTGTATTTTGCCACGCCAAAAAAAGTGTCACCCTCAATTGAATATACACAGCCTGCCAGCAAAAAGTACTCACACTTCAGCAGTTTGCCATACGAATAAATGTCTGGAAGCTCATGAACACCACTTTGAGCACCTCTTGTACTTGTAGAGGACAAAGGTAACTTGTATTAATCCCACAATGTCTTGATAAATTCAGTATTAAAATAGCTATACAAATTTTTCTTTTCCTGATTTATATATTTTTTGACAGGCTCTATATTTAAATTGATGATCTTAAAAAAGGATAACTGTGATTACTGAATAGGTATACATTAAAGAAAAAGAAGAAAAATGACCACTAATAATGTCTTCTAGGTTCTCAGCAATCAATTTATAGATGGGTGTGGTGGCACACACCTGTAATCCCAGCACTTAGGAGACTGAGGCAGGAGGATTGCCGTAAGTCTGAGGCCAGCCTGGGCTACAAAGTGAGTTCAAGGCCAGCCTAAAGGACAAAAAAAAATCAACTTGTAAAGTACCAGTTCATCACAGGGTTGAAGTGAGCAAACAGATTTTCACCTCAGTTCCAAGAAATGAATTAACTTTTATTCCATGTTTGCCTGAGTTCAAATGCCAATGTTAGTTATAGAGAAATCAGCCACGACAGTTTCTTGGGTTTTTTTCTTTCTTTCTTTTTTTTGGTCTTTTTGAGACAGGGTCTCGCTATGCAGTTCAGGCTGGCCTTGAGCTCACTTGGTAGGTCTCGAACTCACAAGGATCCTCTTGCCTCAGCCTCCCAAGTGTTGGGATTACAAGTGTGAGCCATCATGCCCCGCGCCACTGTAATTTCTTGATACTGACTTAAGTACCTAATTAAACCACAACCTGCAACTGTCATATTACTTTAAAAAAAAGAAGAGGTAGCACATCATCTGTCTTTCCTTACAAGAGAAACCAAGCAAAACAGTCAGTGGTTGAAATAAATTCAAAATAAGGGCACTGAAGGAAAACAATCTACTGAGTCTTAAGTAAAATTTCAGTAAGAAAGCGGAAGAACCATAGATTCTACATGTAAGATACAAGGCTGATGATTCATACAAGTTCTGGAAAGTTCGTGAATGGGAATGAAGTTAAGATTTGTTCTCCTGGAAGCAGATAAACAGCAACATGTTTTTCGGTCACTGACAGAAATGTTGAACTAAGAAAAATTTTGGGAATGAAACAGAGATGGGTTTAGTCACAAACTGTCACCACCTATGCCCCATTGAGTCACTGGCAATCACTACTATTCTGAACTGGCTGCTGCTCCTCTTCCACGGGGAGGTGGCGTGGACATGGCACTGCTGTTCCTAATGTGTGCTGACATCCACAGCTCTCCTTACCAGCTCTCCATTCTGGCTTCTGGGATCCCACACTAGCAGTACCAAGATGGTCACCTCATTCTGCCCCTCCAAATTTCAAAAGAAAAAAAATTAACCCCCCAATCAGCCTGCATTTTCATGAGGTCACTTTTAGAAGCCTAGTTTCAGGTGCTCCCTGCACATCCCCCTGAGCAAGGACTACACCTCCAAGCTACTTTAAAACAGGCTATCTCTTGCATGGTGGTGCACACCCATAATCCTAGCACTCGGATGCCATAAACCTAGCACTCAGGAAGCCAAGGTAGAAGGATCAGGACAAGTACAAGGTCAGTCTGGGCTATACAGTGAGTTCAAGGCCAGCCTAGAATATAAAGCAATACTTTTGTTTCCAAAACACCAGAAAAACAAAATGAAAAAGAACAACAAAAACCTCGGGCCATCTTCATGTATGTCAAAAAGGACACTGCACACAGTGGGGTGGGGAAACACTTCTATAACCCAGTCATTTCCACTAAGAAAAGCCAGCACTTCCCTCTGCAGCAAGCCTGGAAACCTTTCTATCTATTTGTATGGTAACTCACAGCCAAAACTAATAGCCAGAAATTGTTTGTTTTCAACTATATAAACAGAAAAGATCACTTAAAACAATTCTTTTTATCCTATCCAAACAATACTATACTGTAGTAGGGCCTCAGAAAGTAACTACATTAATGAAACATCAACAACTTACAGATAAACATTTTAATTGGTTAAATATATTACTTTCAAGATTTTTTTTGAAACTGCATTTGTACTGTATTAATCAACAGCCAAAGGCAATAAAAAAAGTTTAAAACCAAGAATGTTCTGATATTAACATGTGACAGAAACTGCTATGTAAAGTAACACACTGCTCCCAAGAACAATATTTTTTTGAAGGTAATTCACCTTAAATGTGCAAGGACAAATCTGTAATCAAAGGGTGGAAGAAATATATGTTAGTGCCTGCTTTTTAAAAGTTTATTTTACATCTTAAATACAGTATTTTTCTCCTTAAAAAAAAAAAAGCCAGGAAGGTGCTCAACTCTGACGCTTCTATACCACATGTAAGTGAGTGCTGTGGGACAGGCTAACAGTGTTCTGGATGTAACAGTGTGGACAGAGAGACTGCTTCGCAATCAAAATTTTAAAACACATATTAAGCACTGCTTAAGAGAAAAATAATACAGTTTTCTGAACAACCAAAAGAGAACAAAGTTAGATACATACAAAACCAGGTATTAAAAAAAACAGAAAGAAATTCAGCACACAAAAAACTCAAAACAGTATGTAGTGAACTATACTGCAATCATGGAAACCCTCCTGTAAGAAATATTTTATGATTTCAAATTTTAAAAATCTAAGTCTTTCAGTACAACATATAACAATGACACTAAGTGTTGTCATTTTCTATCTATACCACCGTCCCTTCTGAAAAGAATCTCTAGACTTATCACTTACACAAATTTGAAGCAATTAATCCATATTTGTTTTCGGTAAGAAAAAGATGTAACTCTTCCCATGACTAAAGACATAATACAGATTAAAGCTATAAAATGTAAGCATGAGTATAAGCGTTTCCAATTCTCTCTAATAACTCCAACTGGAATTATGTAGGGTTTATGCCTTAGTTAACAAATGAAAAGAAAACGGACTGTCTCTGGCAGTGATTTCCGTATTAGTGTAATATTATTTCCCAAACACTGAATTATCTTTAAATAATTTCATATATTTTAACTCAGTAGGTGTCAGTTTGAGTTTACAAAATCCTGAACTTTGTGCAGAAAAGTTTCAATTTGAGATGCTCTATAAAGCCAGATCAAAACACAAATTAGCTGGTTTTGTCTTGCTATTGGTGGCATGAATCCTAGGTAAGGAGAAAAGGCCTGAGCGCTGTAAAGAAGGATGTCTGTGGGGTTTTCTGTATTCCGACACTGCAGCTAACTACTGGGCCTGAATATTGTAAGTTTATTTCAGAAAATAATTCTCTGTAATATAACTCTGAACTAAACATAAACAGGTACACCCAAAATAAAAATAATATGCATCATTCAGAGCAAGATCAAATTGAAGCAATTTTTCTACTATACTCTGTGAGGTCTTCAGTTTTTAAATTGTAGTAATAGTGACCTTCAAAGCCAGCTGCCTCTGAAGCAGACTATTCACATAAGCACTTCAAATCAGAGGGCACTGGAACTACAGGTTCCAATAAAGCACACAGAGCAGGGAGTAATGGCCTCCCCATTGGCCAGGTGGAGCAACAGCAGGTTTTGTTTTGGAGACTTTGACTATTTAACACACAGCTCATAGAACTTTAGCATCCCCTAGTGCTTCTGTTGGTCAGCACCCCAAGGCTAGATGAGTCTGAGAAATCCTTCTTAACCCCGAAGTATTAATGCTAAAGAGTTTCAAGGAAATCCTGATTCCCAACAAGAGTTCACCAAGCATCAGACCAAAATCTTTCAGGTAAACATTGACTCCAACGCTCCACAAAAGTCAAAAGAAACTAAACACCACCTTCTGCCCAACCCTAGATTCCAGATGCGGCAACAACTTTATCTAGTATAATAGACTCTGTAGTAGACTGATTTGGACCTCCACAAAGAGTAGGAGTTATCAAACTTGAGGAGGTAGACTCCTCTCCCTGGGTACTGGTGGCTGCCGGCATACACTTCCTCGTGACAGTCCCGTCGATACACAGGCACAATCTCATCCAGCAGAGGTTTGTTGGCATTCTTTTTGGCTTTCTCTTCACAAGTGATGTTTTCTGCAAGAAAGAACATGGACAAGTCAAAAGATAAAGAACATCTTTCTACTGTGCAATGAAACTCTGCCCTTCCTTTAACAACTGATCTTGCTAGGAACTGTCCTGAAGCATTCTATTACTGATGATAACAGCACATACCACACATTCATTCATTCATCCATACCTAGCCACTTGCTGTGTACCAAGTACTGCTAATGTCAGACGGTGGCAGCAGCCTGCCTTCCTGCCTTTTCTGTCTTACCACTTGTTATGGTTTGTGTCTGGGTGTCCCCCTCAAATCCTTATGCAGTCAGGGGGGGGCTTCTAGAGTTCATAATTTATCCATGGCCCAAGGCTGGGATTATGGGTGTGTGTGCTACACCTGCCGTGGGACCGATAGTTTACATACAATATAAGAGAGGCTTGCTCCTCCAGCTGCTCTCCTCCCTTTTGCTCTTGTTGCTTTTGCTATCTTCTGTAGCCATGAACTGTTGCCCTCTGCCATGTGCCACTCTGCCTTGGAGCCAGCCGAGTACAGACTGAAGGAGAGGTTTATTTAGCTCACAATTTGTGGAGGTTTCAGTCCATTAAACCTTTCCTTCCTTAATTCTATTTTTTTTTTTTTTGGTCTTTTTTAGACAGCGTCTTGCTCAGACTGGCCTCGAACTCACAGTGATCCTCCTGCCTCAGCCTCTCAAGTGCTGGGATTACAGGCGTGTGCCACCACCCAGCTTCCTTCCTTAATTCTAGGTGTCAGGATTTTGTCCCAGCAAGGAGAGAAAAGTAACCAAGACACCACTGTTCCTATTATTGGGCCCCATTTTCCCCCTCTACTCCCATTCAATTCCTAATTCCTTCTCAATAGGAGGTATCTTGTTCATTGACTAAGACCAGGCAGAACACTGTTCTGATCTCCTCTTCTACAACATGCATCTCCGCTCCCCTCCTCCTCTCTATTTTAGGAATGAGAAGAGGTAGCTTATGATGCCTATTATTTTTTGTGTATCTTAAATGGGAAAGAGTAAAATTTTAAAACTCACAGTAGAGAGGCATTCAGAGACTCCCTATAGATGTAATTATTTCCACTAGGCCTTCTAAACCCAGAGGTGATCCAAGTAGCAAAAAAAATTAGCTCTGATCATAGGCTTCCCCAGTTAATAGTTTTCTGAACTATAATGGTATGAGCTTAGGAAGGAAAATACCTCTAAAACTACAGGAATGAGAAAATTTGCCACCTAACATCTCAGTTTAATGGATTAAATATGAATATCCTCAAGGAAAATAGGCAAAGGAAATATTCCACACAGAAGAGAAATGACTCAGGTTTACAACACCACAGTGTGAGTTTCCGGGACATGAGTTAATTGGGTAGTGCCTTGTCCATGGCCATGATCATGAACTCAAAGTGCAGCAAGTCTGAGAGACTCTCACAGCTACATAAACTGAATATGAGTAAACTGCAATGTGTTCTGCACTGGACACTGGAACATAGGTAAAAACTGAAGAAAACTAAATATGGATTTACACAATAATAATGTTTCAATATTGGTTCATTAGTTAAGATGAATGTACCATAATACACAGTAAGAAATTAAGAACAAGGGACCCTAGGTACAGGGTGTACTGGTGTTCTTTGTACCACCTTTTAAGTTTTCTTTTTGTTGTTTTGTTTTGTTTTGTTTTGTTTTGTGGTACCGGGATCAAACTCAAGACCTTGCGCTTGCTAGGCTGGTGCTTATGCCACTGAGCTGTACCCCCAGCCCCTTAAGTTTTCTATTAATGTAAAATTATTCTAAAAAGTTTATTTTGCAGGTCATGGTGGTGTATGGCTATAATCCCAGCACTCAGGAGACTAAGGCAGGAGGATCACCGTGAGTTTGAGGCCAGCTTGGGCTACACAGTGAGTTTAAGACCAGCATGAATTACAGAGCAAGGCCCTGTCTCAAAAAATCTAAATAAATAAATAAATAGTTTATTTTTTTAAAAATAGATGACACTCATATAAAAGTAGACCCACATCAAACTTGCTTTATCATAGTAATATCTACAAGTAAACATCTTTCATGTGTAAATGGGAAACACTAAGCCATTCTAAGTGTACATTATTAGGGGAAGAAACTTCAAAAGCAAAGAGAAACGGTTGGGGAAATGGAGAAAAGAAGGGGAGTAAATAAATAAGAGCTAAAGTAGTTACACTACTAATTTCTCTTAGTTCATTGAAAAGATAGGTTTGTACTATAACACGTAACAATAGTTTGGATAATTAAATGCTGATACCTTGTGCTCTGAGTAGCTAATTTAAAAATAACAATACCCAATGCATTAACCATCATTACCCCCATCATATTGCTTTAGAATTTTGTTTTCTGTTCTGTTTTGGTTTTTTTTCTCTTCCTTTTCTTTTGACACAGGGTCTCATGATGCAGTTCAAGCTGGCCTTGAGCTCACTTTATAGCTCAGGCTGGTCTCGAACACGTAACGAGCCTCCTGCCACAGCCTCCCAAGTGCTGGGATTACAGGTATGTGCCACCACGCCCAGCTGTTTTTTTCTCTTTAAAATTAAAAAAATTAAATCAAAGTGTACATTACTGCCTATGAGGATATACAGGAAACAGATTAGTCCATTAACACACTCCTGCCAGCTTGGACCATCAGTGATATAATCATGACTATCCCATCAATCAGCTTGTACCACCCAAAAGGTCTGGCCCATGCTGCCAATGCAACCGGCAGCATGTATTACCGGCAGTTCAGAGCATGTATTACCGGCAGTTCAGAGCCACTCGGTAGCCAGACATATGAATTACGGCCCAATCATGATCCAATTTTATTCAAACTCTGAAAACCTAAAGATTACTGGGATAGATGAACACTGCACCTTTTATCAACCTAAGCAAAGAGTTGGGACCTAGAAACACTAAAGTGGAGAATCTCAACAGGAGGGTTGGTTACCACCCACGCTTCTTCAGAAAAAAACAAGACGCCTACTTGCAAGACTTACGGGAGAACAGCTGAGGCAACCAACCAATGGACAAAAAGCCTGTGCTCTGCCTTAGCATGGTGGTACATATCTGTGATCCTGGCACTCTGGGAGACTGAGGCAGGAGGATCTATGTTTGAGCCAATTTGGGCAATTTAGTGACTTAGCAAGATTCTATCTTAAAATAATAAAAACAAGCTGAGGATTATTAGCTCAGTGAGGAGGCGTCAACCCTCCTCAGTACCATAAAAACAAAACAAATCTCAAAAACTGGATTCTCCTTCTACCTGAAACTAAGCCACAGGGATCTCCCTAAAATGCACATCATCTAGAGTAGCCTCCTAGGGCAGAACAATGCCCTAGAGCTTACAAACAAGATTTGGGAGCGGCGTGATGGGATACAGTTACATTCATTCCTACAGAAACAATACTTGGGAGCAGTTAGTTGTTCTGTTAATGCAGAGGTTTAAATGTCACTAACTCCTGTACCCTGGACAGGCTCACCAGGTTACCGTCTCCTGGCCACTAGTGCCCAGTTCCTGTCTACAGCCCCATTCGCATGAGAATTTGCTGTCTGGAGTGTTTTCGGCCTCTCGGGGCAGGTTCCTTACCTTGGCACCCTCACTGCAGGAGTAAGGACGACGAGTGGGAGAAATCTTCACAAAAAACTTGTGTAGAAAACTTACTTTTGTGGGGGGTTTCTGTTTGTTTGGGGGAGGTCTTTTTCTTTTCTTTTTTGTCTGTATTAAGACCTGCAGCTGCTAAAATCAGCTTTGCCTTTAATTAAACCATGTTCTCTCCAACCTCCCCCCCAAAAAAATCACACAAAAAATCAGAGGTCTAAATGGATTGGCTTTAGTTGCACGTCACTTTAGGATTAAGAATGGCATAGGGGGGTTGGGGGTACATCTCAGCAGCATGGCATCTGCCTGGCAAGCATGAAGTCCTGAGGTCAATTCCCAGTACCAAAAAAAAAAAAAAAAAGAATGTCCCAAGTCATCTTGCCTGGGAGGGACACAGTACATCAGCATTAAAGCCAAGGCATTGAAGTTCTTACCTCTAAAATCTACCCCAGCTGTTCTCGTAGCACATTTCCAGTATGGATAACCCAAAGACTATTAGACTATCACCAGCAGAGGGGCTGAGACTAGGGTGTAGGAAGCAACCTTCTTCAAAAAGACCTCTAGCAGGCAAGCAAGAGAAATATACTACCTCAAAAGACTTCTGACAGAGGATTTTTTTGTATGCTTGTTTTTTTTTTGGTGCGGGGGAGTTGTTTGTTGTCTGTTCTCTCCCTGCCCACCCCTCCTAGTACTGAGGACTGAACACAGAGCTACATCTTCAGCCCTTTTTTATTTTAAGACAGGGTCTTGCTAAGTTATTCACACTGGCCTCGAACTTGTGATCCTCCTGCCTCAGCCTCCTCAGTAGCTGGGATTATAGGTGTGCACCACTGAGCCTGCTACATGTTGGTTTTGTTTGTTTGTTTTGTTGTGCCAGGGATGGAACGCAGGACTTTACAAATCCAAAGCACAAGTTCTACCACTGAGTGACACTACTAGCCCAGAAATTCTTTTTTTTGGTCTTTTTGAGACAGGTTTTCCTTATGTAGTTCAGGCTGGCCTTGAACTCACTTTGTAGCCCAGGCTGGCCTCAAACTCACAGCAATCCTCCTGCCTCAGCCTCTCGAGTGCTGGGATTACAGGTGTATCCACGATGCTTGGCTAATAAAACTCTTGGGGGGTTTTTTTGTTTGTTTTTTTCGGTACCAAGAATCAAACTCAGGACCTCACACTTGCTGGGCACACACTGTACTGCTGAGCCCTATATCCCTGGGGCCCAGAAACTTTTTTTTTTTTTTTTCCTTTTTGAGACAAGGTCTTGCTATGCAGTTCAGGTCTTAAGCTCACTTTGTAGCTCAGGGTGGTCTCAAAGTTCAGCTCAGGACCCTCACCTCTTTTTTTCTCCCTCACTTTTGTGTTTTTAATCTTCTGTGTTGGTAGAATTTGTAGGCAGTGTTTTCTGTGGGGAGCAGCTGAAGCTGGAGACTGATCACAACAGCGAGGCAAGCCACTACTAAACAAGCCGTTTCAGCTTGCAACAGAAAGTTGCTAGGCAGAGGGGTTGAAACTGACATCAGCCTCCTGAGAGTATAAATAAAGGTACTATGGTGGTGAAGCAGTTTCTTTCCTCCCAATGGGAGGGAGGGCTCCACCTGACCTCAGCTTTCTGCTCTTATCTTTTATTTCTCCATGTTCTCGCTGGCCTTTCCCCCAGGAACTCTGAAGCTGTGAGAAACGCAGTAGTTCTCCTTATTGGCAGCACTTAGAAATAAGAGCACTGGAAACCTAATGCCATGGAGCACAAAGTGTGCGGCTTCAGTAGGTATCCCTAGCTAAAATGCAGCCCTGTGGGGGTAAGTCTTCCATCTCCTCTGGAGCGAGTCACTGTGTGAGCCACTGGAATCCCCAGGACACTGACGGTTCACACAGACAATGGTATAGGATGAAAACTCTTTGGAGCTGAAAACCTGACTGTTGGTATTAAATATGAAGGGCTAGGCATGATGCACTCAGAAAGCTCAGGCAGGAGGATGAGGAGCTCCACGCCAACCTGGACCCTGTACCACAACCCTGTCTGTAAGTAAAGAACATTCAGTGTTAAACTGAATAAACATTCAATTTCAAGGAAGTGCTTACGGTGTGCCTGCTATGTGTGCTTCCACACACGCCCCAGAGCCCCAGAGTGGCAGCACGGTGTGGTGCTATAACTCAACACCTGCCCATCTGCAGAGCCCACTCAACTTCTATGCCCATTCATGTACTTTCAGGAATATCTCTTTAGCTGGGCATGGTGCACACGCCTGTGATCCCCAGCACTTGGGAGACTGAGGCAGGAGGACTGCTCTGTGTTCAAGGCCAGCCTGAACTGCACAGTAAGACTGTCTCAAAAACTCAAAAACTCAAAAAAGAAAAAGCATCTCTCTTTAAATTTACCCTTACCCTCACCAATAACGACGTTATGTCCCTGGAAAGCCACAGACTCCTGAGGAACAAGGCACAGTGCTTTCTCACTCTGCAGCCGGGCCTCCTCCACACTTCTAAGCAGGTGTTTACTGACACAGACATGCCCCCACTCCCACTTTTCTCACCCATATCATCAAAGAACATTTTCTCAATAAGCAACACACTTTATCACCTATTTCCTAGACTCTTTAAGAAAACACCTGATTTTAATTAACTATATAAAAATTATACTCTGGGAAGAACTGAAAAATTTTAAGTGGGATGTTCCAGTGAGTTTTTCAATTTACATAAAAGCTTTTGAATAATGACCTAAAAAACTATTGGAAACATAAATTTAAATAAAGTACAGGATTGACAGACATCCTTACTTGTGCCTTTAAATTTTTTTCAAAGCAGGGCATGGTGGTGTGTACCTAGTCCCAGCTACTCACAAGGCTGAGGCAGGAGGATTGCTTGAGCCCCAGGAGTTCAAGACCCGGCTAGGCAATATAGTGAGCCTCTGTCTCAGAAAGAAAAAAATTCTTTTTCCAGAGTGATTCTACATACTTGTCTTTCAACATAGGAGGCTGTAAGTAAAACAGTCTTCAGAACGCAGTAAAACAGACCAGGCATGGTGGCACACACTTGTAATCCCAGCACTCGGGAAGTTGAGACAGACGGATCACAAGTTTGAGGTCAGCCCAAGCTCCACAGTGACTCCACAGACTAAATAGCAAGACCTTGTCTCAAAAAAAAAAAACTCAAAACCAAAACCAAAACCAAAAGTCAACCAACCAATGACAAAAATCAAAGCAGTGAGAAAGCAAACTGCCCGATACTTTTCTGACATTTAGAAAGATGCATGCTCAGGCTCTGGCCCCCTACGGAGACTGGCCACTCACAGCCTTTTCAGCCAAAGCTGCTATTATGGTTCATATTTAGATGTCCCCCTCAAAGCCTCAAGCACCTCTGACGGGGCTATTGGGAGGTGACTGGACCACAATGTGTGATACCAACAGGTTACAGCAGGGTGTGGTATTAGGAGTGAAGCCTGGTGGGAAAAGGTGGGCCACGTGAGCATGCTGTGGGAGGCTGTAGCCCTCCATCTCCTTCCTTAAGCACTCACTCTCCCTGTCTGTCCTGCCATGGACTGTTTCCTCCTCTGCCAAGGCCAAACCCACCTGGCACGCTGGCACGCCTCCCTCTCTTGGAGACAGATGACAACAGACTGAAACCTCTATAAACTGTGAGCTAACATAAACCTCTACCTCTTTAACCTTTGGGTGTTAGGTATTTTGTCCCAGCAACAAAAAAGTAACTGAGACAGTTGCCTAATGAAAAGACTGTTCCCTGTCCATGAAGTGTCAATCAGGAAGTGTATGGCTGGCTAACATTTGAACTATGTACCATTTTTGCCAATATACAACCCAACAGTTCCCAAACACAGACCAATGGTTCTACCTTCCTCCTCCTCGTCATCATCACTGGACTCGCTGACATGCACGCTGACGGCAGTGTTCGGAGAATCTGTCCATTCAAAGTATACCCCAAACCCAATGTCATAATTGTCTGTAGCAAATTCCCAAAAGAGGTAAGATCCTTCTTCATGGGTAGGAACTCGAACAGTGACCACTTCTCCTCGGCCCACTGTAATCACAGAATCTGCATCCTGCCGAATCTTCTCTTTAAAGTCTTTGATCTGGGGACGGGTCCACATGGATGGAGCTGCTATTACTGGAAGAGATTCTAAAGGCAAACAGGAATTACAAAAGCTAAAGAGAAAAATCCTTCACTGTGCAGGCATCAACATCTGCATGAGCCAACAACCTGCCCAGGACACGCAGGCACCGAGTGCAGTGTGGCATAGCTCCTTGTGGATGAAGGAGGGAGGGGATACATAAGGCTCTCAATGAAGTCTCACTCCTGACTAATACATTTAACAAGGTCACAGGGACTCAGAAGCCATTATAGTGCTTCAAATAACAAATGGAATCCATAGTAACTTTTTTAACACTCTTAACTATACCTATAGGGATTCAAGAATGACTTTGAAAACTCCAGAGCTGTGAAAACATTCTAGAAAGGAAGAGAGATCTCGATCTTGCAATAAAGTTCTGAACTCTAGAAATGTGAAAAAAAAGAAAACCAGGCTTAACCTCAATCTACCTGTTGAAAAACTGTTGACCTCAAAGTGTTCCAAAGTTCTAGGGTCTTTTCTTTTTTTTGTCTTTTTGAAACAGGGTTTCATTATACAGTTCAGCCTGGCCTTGAACTCACTTTGTAGCCCACGCTGGCTTCAAACTCACAGCAATCCTCCTGCCATAGCCTCCCAAGTGACGGGATTATAGGCATAGGCCACCATGCCCAGCCAGGGGATCTTTTCCAAAGGAGCTCAAAGAAGCAGAAAAATCTGGATAGGATTAGGACCAGTGGAGGCTGAGGAAAGAGGTACAGTCTTGTTACTGAGCAGTATCTATGTGCACTGGACCACTCAACATGTTCTCCAGAGTTAAGTTACAGAACCCCTGACAAAACACTTCCTCTCAAACGAAAACACTGCTAATAACTGTTCATAAGAAAAAAGGAGGAGTCATAAATTAAAGATTTCAAGGACTTTTATGAAGCTATGTTCTGTCAGTCACTCTAAAAGGGCAGGGAAGTCTCTGAAACCGAGTTTCCTCTGAGTCCCTCCACCATCCCTGACCACTGTCACTGACATGTGTGCTCTTCCCTCTTCATGCCTGGTTTTTTTTTTTTTTTTGGTACCGGGAGTCAAACTTAGGACCTTGTGCTTGCCAGGCCACTGAGCTACATCCTTGGCCCCTTCATGCCTGCTCTTGCTTCAGCTCTCTTAGCTCAAGTGCCCCCTTCCTCAGGAGAGTGCTGACCTCTCTGAGGTCACATGTTACATGATGTCACACTATAATTACAGGACCCCTCTCTCCACTGTACTACTTATCACAGCAATAACTTATCACAGCAACAACTTACATCTTATGTGCATTACTCTTCCTCATCTTACTATATTCCCACAGTTCACAAAACCTTCAAGCAAATGCTGAACAAATGAATGAACTACCCATGGAAAGCTAAGAGAACTTCAGAAATGCTGTTACTGTACAGGGCAACATGATACTCAGCATCAAAAGTACACTGGAATAGTACACAGATAGCCAGCCTCCAGGACAGCCCCAGAGATCCTCATGTCTGGCTTCCAAATGCACACTTATGAGATGTCCACCCACAACACCATGGGTCAGCTTAGAATATAGTGGAAGTGCTGATGATCATGTCCAAAGTCAGGGCCTAAAAACATTGCCATCTCTGACTCTTTTCGATAATGTGCTCGCAGGGATGCCAGCCACTGTGCGTTGAGACTTATACTGTCCCATGGAGAGGCTTTTGGGCAAGAACACATCCTATCAACATCCTGCACCAAACTGCCTGCCAGCCTGCCAGCCAGGGACGGAACTCTGAAAGCAAGTCCTCTAGTCCTAGTCACATGTTCAGAAGACCATAGTACCAGCCAACATTTGGACTGCAAGCTCACAACAGACCCTAATGAGCATCATTCACCTTAGCTGTTCTGACCACCTGACCCACAGAAACTGGGCTACATAAGAGTTGTTTTATTGTTGGGGCTGCAGATTTAGCTCAGCGGCACAGTGCCTGCCTGGCAAGCGCAAGATCATAAGTTCCATTCCCAGTGGGGGGGGGGGTGTTTATTGTTATTTTAATTTGCTAAACTGAGTGTAATGTTACACAGCATTAAATACAGTCGTACCTTGGTTCACAAACTTAATTCTTTCCATGACTCTGGTCATAAAGATGAGATCAATGATTAGGTTCAGTGAATGCTGATCTTATGAGGAAATGTGATTCAGTTCCTGTCCAATTTGGTTTGCAATCAAAATTGTGGAAAGAATTAATTTCGTGAACTGAGGCACCAAGATATATAAATAAATATATAGACAGAGATATACATCTCTCTGTATATAGAAATATATATACATAGAGAGAGAGAGCAGGAGAGGGAGAAGAAGCAGGAAGGGCAGTAGAGCGGGAGCTGGAGGGATCGGGAGCAGCAGTGGGAGCGGGAGTGGAGATATCTTTTGCCGTAAGGGCCCAAAAGCCACTTTTTTGTCTTTTTGCTCTTCTAATCTATTCTAATGGTCACCATAAGCATTAGATTCCAACTTAAAAGAGTAAAAAAGTATCCTCACTCTCAAATGATGTAACTGGTCTTACAAGCTGGTCACAAAAGCCTCTGCTTTTCACGGCATCTGAAGTGTAACATCTGAAGGAATGAACACATATACCAAATCATACCTTTTGGTCCATTCTCCAGGGCTTCTTCTGCAGCTTCTGGCTCAAGTTCTTTTTCAGAGTTGTCAGTGTGGGTTTTGGCCTGTCCATTAACTGACATCTTATCACCTGGGACGGTTGTATTCACTTTTGATGAAGTAGGCAAAGAAGCCCCAGCCACTGCTATGTCCTGTTGTTTCTGTAACGCTGCCTACAAATCAAGAAAGAGCAGAGACACACTGACCAGGAAGGCTAACAAATGGGACATCTGCCCTAGAGTGCATTCTGGCCTCATGCTTTTGTCCTACCAAAGCTTTCTGCTCCAAAAATTACTAACAAACATTTATCAGTTTTTATTCTATCTATAGTGAATACTAATATTAGTTAAAATGATGAAAATTAATGTGGACAAAAACTAACTGAAGCTGGAGATGGTGATGCATGAGAGTAAGCCCACACTCTGGTAAGCTGAGACAGGAGGAAAATGAGTTTGAGCCCAGTTAGGGCAACTTGGTGAGGCTCTGTTTCATTTAAAAAAAAAAAAAAAAAAGAAAAGAAAGAAAAGAATAAGAATAAGAATAAGAATAAGAATAAGACGACGACGACGACGACGACGACGACGACGACGACGACGACGAGGAGGAAGAAGCAGCAGCAGCAGCTAGGGATATAGCTCAGTGTGAAAGCCCTGGGCTCAATTCAATAGCAACAACAAAACTGAGGATCCCATTTCCATGATCTGAGAATCACTAGAAAAACTAACCAGGAACAATTATAGTAGACAGGAATAATCAACCCAAAATAAAACTATTAAATGTATGACAAAATCTGAATAGAATAACATGTCTTCTTAAAGTTAATGGAATTCAATTATATTGAAATTCAATTGCATAAAACTTGAATTAGGAAAGTTACAGAAACTTTGTATAAACAAACAGATACAGAAAAAAACATTCACAAAGACAGAAGCTATGACTGGTAAAGTCTGATACAGACCCTACAAGTAATCAACAAATCGCAGATGAAGGGTGAGGACACAGCTCATGTCGGAGCACCTGTGAAGTGTGTGCGAGGCACTAGGTTCAATCCTCAGCACTGGAAAAGCCAAAAGAAACAAAAACTATTCTTACATGGACAAAAATAAAGTGCAATTAAATTTATTTATTTTGTGGTGCCAGGGGTAGAACCCAGGATTTCGTATTAGCCTAAGTAGGTGCTCCATCACTGAGCTACACCTATAGACCACAACTAAATTTAGAACTATAAACCACATTGTTTAAAAAATTGATCTAAGCTGGGCGTGAAGGCACATGCCTATAATCCTATCACTCGGGAGGCTGAGGCAGGAAGATCACTGCGAGTCTGAGCCAAGCCTAGGCTACACAGTGAGTTCAAAGCCAGCCTGAACTACATAGTGAGACCTTGTCTCAAAAAAAAAAAATTTATCTAAGAACTAAACAGGTTTATAAACATAGTTGACACTATATGAAACCATGATTAAAATGTGTATGAAGTAGGGTATACCATCCATTCAGGTTGGGTGTGATGGACACACCTGCAGTACTAGCATGTAGGCTAAAGCAAGAAGATCACAGATTTGAGTCTTGCCTGGGCAATTTAGTGACGTAACAAGACTCTCAACATAAACAACTTTAAAAACAGCTGGGGATACAGCTAAGTGGTATAACACCCCTGGGCTTGATCCCCTAGTGGCACCAAAAACAAAAAAAAGCATGTATTCACAAATATTAAATAAAAATGTTCTCTGAATGAAATGGGAGAGTAAAAAAAGGGATAGCTATCTGGGACATTCCTTTTCTAAGTCAAGATGCAGACATTAATACTACTTAAAATAAAAAAAAATACCTACTAAGTAACCTTTGGAGGAACTTTGAATTGTAACATGCATATATAAAAATACACAAATCATACAGGTTGACCAATCTTCACAAATTTAACACATATCCATTTAAAGCCAGGCGTGGTGGCTCATGCCTGTAATCCCAGCACTCGGAAGGCTGAGGCAGGAGGATCACTGCAAGTTTGAGACCAGCCTGGGCTACAAAGTGAGCTCAAGGCCATAGTGAGCTGCATAGTGAGACCCTGTCTCAAAAAAAAACAAAAAAAAAAACCAACCCATGTAATCAACACGCAGATGAAGACACCTCTGCTTCCCAGAATCCTACCAGGTACTCCTTTCTAGATACCTCCTCCTACCCAAGCAACTATTCTGACATCATACAGATATGCTTTACTGTTTTCAAATGGTATATAAATTGATGGAAGGTTCATCAACAGGACCACAACCAACTGTACTTTGTTGTTTGCACTGCTCTAATTAGTCCACCATGAAAATGTAAAATTTACCTATTTTACCATTCAAGTATATAGGCACGTAAGTAACTTTTTAAATTAAAACACTAAAGTCACAAGTTAACATATGGTCACTGTTATGGTTTGTGTCTGGGTGTCCCCCCAAAGCCTCATGCTGCCATGGGGTAGGCTTTTAGAGTTTGATTGATTATGGGTCTGAGAGCTACACCTGCCCTGGGGTGCATAGTTTGCATATGTAAGGGAGAGAAAGAGGGTGCTTCTGGCCATTTCCTCCCTTTTGTGTGCTTGTTGCTTTGCTGTGTTCCGTGCCAGGAGCTGTAGCCTCTGCCATGTGCCACTCTGCCCTATAACCGGCCAAATACGGACTGAAACCTCCACAAACTGTAAGCGAAATAAACCTTTCCTTCCTTAATTTTGGGCATCAGATATTTTGTCCCAGCAATGAGAGAAAAGTAACCAAGACAGTCACTGTAGTTAAACAAACAAAAAAAAAAAGACGTCTACAGAGAGCAAGACTGTCTGCTCACCTTGTAACTCCCCAGTTTAAAGATGACGTAGTTTGGTTATCTCTGTGCATGGGTTTCATGTAATCTATCACAAGCCAATTACTTAAAGGAAGGGCAACACGTCTCTACGGCTAGCACAGGACAGCAACACACTTAGGACTTTAAAATACCTTCTCCCAAGATGTAGATTCTAAACAATTTTCAAGTTAGTTTTATAGAAAGAGTACTAACCACCAGAAAAAAAAAAAAATACATAAAACCAAAACAAGTGAGTATGCTCAGAATACTACATGACAGGAAAGAAGAAAAAGCATTTCTGCTGATGATCAATTGGCCCAGCTCAAATAGTACCTTTCCACAAATCCTTTCCTGAAACTCTACCAGAATGAACAAAATCACTTCTCTGGGATCCCACTGCCATTAATATGACAGCAGACTGTAATTGCTTAATTTACATATTCTCTTTTCTATACTTATGGAAAGGTGTAAGAATAATGCTGACAAAACAGCTGGTTCATGTAATTATATCCCCAAATTAACAAGTGTTCCCACTGTGTAATTCTGCTCAGTATTCATACAAAAATTAATGCTTTATAAGGGTGAAGTTCCTTTAGTTTCCTTCCCCTCAAGGAAAATTCACCGCAACTGTTAAAAAACAACTCAGGTTGCAATGAACTAAAACCCTCTTTCTAAGGCTGAATTCCAAGGTTTTCTATTATAACTAGTCCCAGATTCGACCGCTGGGTTAATAATGATCAAGTTAACACTTGATCTTGATCATTCTAATCTAATTGTGACTTCCCACTTCAAAGACCCTTGGATGTGCCCTGTTAGACTGACTTTCTCCTCACTAAGTGATAGCCTATGAACATGACAGTTTATGTGAGCTGTTCTAGTGAAAAATTATCTCAATGTCTATTACAGAAAACAGGAAAAAGGGATGTGATACACTGAGGTAGAAACTGGCTATAGAAAACAGAAAAGAATCCCTCAAAAGTATCTTGAATGAACTCTGGGTAAGTGATTTTTTCCTCCTAGGGGGATTGTATAAAATCTGCAATTTCTAACTTCTGATATATCTTCAAGGAACTTAAAGATCTCGGGGAAAACAACATAGATTATAATGTCACATAGTAAAAAATCTCTTCTTTTCACTCCAGTTTTTTGATAGGTGGTAACTATTTTGCAAGTGAAAACGAGTCACACTTAGCACATTTAAGTTTAAGAAGTATTTTACGGCCCTACCAATGTAGAAACAATGTAAAATCACTATCTTGCCTGTGTACAAAATAGGTTCACAGACCAGACTCCTAGCCCCACATTCTCTCACCTAAATCACCTTTCCTTACCAAAGCCAGTATTTAGTGTTGGACATGAATGTGTTGTCATATTCTTATGAAACAGCCTGTGGCCTAAGTGAGGGCAGTTCTCTTCAGAAGCTGCCCACCCCACTAACAATGCTTTGCCTGAAGGATGTCTCTAAACTAAGGCTGGCTACCCTGGTCCTCACGGTTCCAGGACTACTAACATCTGCCTACAAGATTACCAGGAAGTTATTTTATACCTTCAAAGCTAACTAATACAAAATTCATTGGCAACTGTTAAAAAAAGGGTTCCAATGAAACACAAACCCTCTCTAAGGCTGAACTCTGGGGTTGTCTATCGTACCTGTTGCTGTGCAAGCTGGACTTGGTACAACTGCTGCATATACTGCTGATAGTGCTGCTCCTGCAACTGGCGGATGAGAATCTGCTGCTGCTCGTAGTTCCCTGGGTACTGCTGGGCTGCATACTGCTGGAACTGCACGGCAGTCTGGGAGTTTAAAGCTGCCATTATCTGCTGCCTAAAAACATTAAAAATATACACTAGTCTGACTACAGGAGATTGTTCATGACAAAATTAAATGTCCTTATTATAGTTTGTAACTCTTATTTAAACATGACTAAGCTAGCAATGTATACCGATCAGCATGTGTCCCAAGCTCCTAGAAGAAAGATTTAAGAAAATAAACCTGACCTCTAATTTTTTGTTTGTCTGTCTTGTTTTTGCTTTTGAGACAGGGTCTCACTAGATAGCTCAGGCTGGTCTCGAACCTTTGATCCTATTGGCTGAACCTCCGAGGTGCTGGAATTACAGGTATGTGCCACCACACCAGGCTGGTCTTTAATTTTTTACTTTTTCAAGGCAAATTTGGGATGGAGAGTAGTAAGTACATCATCTTCACCACCATCATAATTATTATGTGCCATGCAGTGTTCAAAGCACATATATGCACTAACCCCAATGGGTCTCACAACCATCATATGGAGTTGTTCAATAATTTGCCCAATATTCTAGTACAGGAAGGTGCCAGAGCCAGGATTCAAATCCAGACAGTCTGGCTCAAAGACTACTAACTCATCACCATGCTGTAAAGTGATGGATTCTCATCTGAAGCAGAGACAAGGTACTAAACTATTGGCTATGGCTCCCCTACCTACATACATGACAAACAGGACAAGGCAGAACAGCTGAAAGACAGTAAGGTAGCCCTGGTAAGATTAAACAAAGCCAGTGAAAATCTGAGGGTCTATGGCATTTAATTTAAAGCCCCCTTTATTAAAGGGGAAACACTGAAAATAGTATTTGGGCAGGCATAGTCCAGAAGTAACAATCTGTATGAACTATTACAATTTTTTCATATGAAAATCACATGCTTCATAACTCAGTTGTGCAACTACTTAACAAAGACCTCAAAGTCATCTATTAAATAAAAATCAGATAAACAGGTAACAAAGCAAATGCTCTTAATTCATGAATACAGCATGACCCTGGGCCCAGTCAGGGCATCCCACCCTAAAAAACGAGCAGTATTCATGTCTCTCTTCAAAGCTGAATGAAGACTTCAATCAGTTTGAGGCCAGCATTGAAGGTTTTTCTGATAAACTAAGTAGAAATTACATTGTCTGATTTAACACATATATCATCCCATCCTAGAACTCCAGACCTCCTTTCCCATGGTGCTGAGTTGGTGTGAATCACTTCCTCCTTACACCTACAGCTCCCTTTGGAAGAATCAATCCTAAGATAGCTGCTCTCACAGCCCTTACTAAGCAATAGTTTCAGCCTTCAAGGCCTGTACTAGGATTTAGGGATGGACACTTTAGATACAGACTGCACCAATGGGATTCTGTTCTCAGAATTTTTAACTGGAGCTCACATTCCAGCCTGCCTCTGTCAGATGCATGGAAAAATAAAACACACAAAAACCCTAGCTGAGATATCCTTGCATACGTCACGTCAATGCAGAGACTGCCACTTTGCAGATATCAGGAAGAACACAGCAGAGACATAAGCTGGGAAGGAAAGACAAGGTCATGTAGATGGAGAGACAGACGGATCAATCAAGAAACCCAGGTCCCGTTTCTAGCTCCTGGAATCTGCGTATTAACCCCAAATTCTTCCAAATACATTCCTTTGATAGCAGATCACTGATAAAAATAAAAAGTAGCTGGTCTCCCTCCCAGTCATACAAATCACAGAGATATTCTGAGGCACACACTGGTAAGAACTCAGGTATTATCGGCACAGGGCAGTCACTTCTCATCTTTAGATGGAACCCATGCAACAAGCTCACTTTTGCTGCTCCAAGCGAAGCCTCTCCTCTTCTGCACGCCTCCTCTCTTCTTCCTCCCGCCTCAGCCTTTCCTCCTCTTCTCGCCTGCGTTTCTCTTCCTCCTTGAGCAGACGTTCTCTCTCTTCCTCTTCCCGTCGCCTTCGCTCCTCCTCCTCCTTCCTGCAAGGTAAAGAGCAGAAAACAGCGACTTTTCTTTAAAAATCATTTCCATTCCATTTCCCAGGGAAAATTAACACAAATGTTTTACAGAACAATGTGGCAACACGGCTGGGCATGGGTGCATGTCTGCAGCCCCACCACTCAAGGGGCCAAAGCAGGAGGACTGGGAGAGTTCAATCAGCCTGGCTACACAGCAAGACCTTGTGCTAAAACAAAGAACTGAAATGTGTACACTTCACTAGCAGAAACTTATCACATGAATCGCAGCACTCGGGAGGCTGAGGGAGGAGGATCACCATGAGTTCAAAGCCAGTATGGGCTACATAAGTGAGTTCAAAGCCAGCCTGCAATACATAGCAAGACCTTGTCTCAAAAACAATGAAAAAAAAAAAAAAAAGCCAGGCATATAGCTCAGTGGCACAAGTGCCTGCCTGGCAAGTGCAAGGTCCTGAGTTTGATTCCCGGTACCAAAAAATAAATAAATAAATACATAAATAGCCAGAAAAAGAAAAACAAAAAAAAAGAAACATCATATGGAGTCAACCTCACAATACACAAGATCACATCAAGAGTAACTATTGGGCTGGGAATACAGCTCAGTGGCACAGTGCCCACCCTGGCAAGCCCAAGGTTCTGAGTTCAATTCCAGATACCAAAAAAAAAAAAAAAGAGGGGCAGGGATGGACTCAGTGGTGAAGTGCTTTCCCCGCAGGCACAAGGCACTAGGTTCTACCCCCAGCACCACACACCCAAAGGTCTACACTCAGTGAGTAGAGGCTGCTACCGTACACCACCACATCCAGGAGCCTTGGCAGGGGCTGGGGAGCACAAAGCAAGTGTATGAAATGCAAATCAGGGGCCAGGACAGAGCTCAGCAGCACAGCGCCTGCCTGGCAAGAGCACGGTCATAAGTTCCATTCTCAATGCCAAAAAAAAGCAAATCTAAGGGGCTGGGGATTTAGCTCACTGGCAAAGCGCCTGCTTGGCAAGCGCAAGGTCGTGAGTTCGGCTCCCGGTACCGGAGAAAAACCAAACAAAAAAAAAAAAAAAAAGCAAATCTACCTAAAATGCCATGCAGCCATTAAGAAAGGACAGAACTACCCAACCTAGTATGTAAAGATTAATGTGTCTGATGAAGCGCAGGTAAGTACCCAAAAAAAGGTCTAGAAGGGTTTATTCCAAACTTGACAGTTTATGGAAAGAAGAATGGGAAAGGGAAATTTCAGTGTGTGCTTTGCATTTTGCCAGAAATGGGAAAATAACTTTCACTGTTTGTGTTTGTGTTTTGTCTTTTTGAGACAGGGTCTCACTATGCAGTTCAGGCTGGCCTTGAGCTCACTTACATAGCCCAGGCTGGTCTCAAACTCGCAACAACCCTCCTGCCTCAGTCTCCCCAGTGCTGGGATTACAGGTGTGCACTACCATTCCTGGCCTTGTTTTTGATTTTTTTGTCTTTTTGAATTTACACCGTTTGAAAAACATTTATGTTTGTACATTACTTCTAAAATTTTTTAAGTTTCCAATTTTTAAAAAAAGAAGCCATGTGTAGCGGTGTAAGCCTATAGGGAGGCTGAGACAGGAGGATCGCCACAGTTCAAGGCCAGCCTGGACTAAATAGTAAGTTCAAGGCCAACCTGAGCTACACAGCAAGACTCTGTCTCAAAAAAAAAAAGGATTA